TTGACCTTCTTCACCAAAGTCCTCAGTCATGCTTCCAGGTGAGCGATGCCACCACTTTTGGACCTGCAACACCATGCTCCATTTCCTCAATGAGGCCCAAGTCCTCCCCTGACTTCCAAGAAGCATGAGCAGGTCCTTGTGTCCTTGAACATTTTCACAGAAACAGCCAGCAATAGCCAGCACTTGATTACAGAGGGACCAGAGAAACTTACCACAACAAAGCTGGCTTTAGGGGACCAAAACTTCCCAGCTTGTGAAGGTGCATGAGTGTAGGACTCTGACTGGAGGCACATCTCCAAAAGGTGTAAACTGGCCACAAAACCCACACTCTGAGCAGAGGCATTTAGTCATGCAGTTATTTTAGAACACGAGGACTCAACAGAATCCAGATCTGGTACAAGGTGTCCAGTGTCAGAGGAGACATCATTTCAGTTAATGAAACATTGCTCTCCAATTAACACCAAAAATTTGTAGTGAAGATGACCATTAAGTCCCTCCCAGAATACTTGTGCTTGAGCCCTCTGTGGTGCTATGTATCAACTTACCAAGCAGTTGCTCTTCCATGTCTAATTAGCAGGTGTGAAATTAGTGGTGTGGCATGGAGAGAGTTGTCCTAGTTACACCTCTGCTTGCCTGCATGCTGGCATCAGTGGACTGGGGGTGAATTTCACACTGCCATCTAGTGATTAGCATCCACTTTCCCTGCCACACAGCAGCAGAAAAATGATACAGCAAAGACTAATTCCTCAAGGCTGAAATCCCAAGGTACGCTTATATCCCATGGCTGCCTGAGGAAGTGATGGTTGACATGCATAATGGAGCACAGAGTCCTAGGCCCAAGGAGCTTACATAGGACAGCTGATGTAGGCATCCTGAGGTGGAGGTCCTAGCTCAGTTGGGTGAAGCTTCTATTAGGTCTTCATGCCAAGTACTTACAGAAACCTAAATAAGTGCGTGCACCCTAGATTTTGGCAGTCTTTTCCTGAATATGCAGACACTTGTGTGCCTCTTTACATACTATGCTTTTTTTTTCCTTCTTTCTTTTTTCCTCTTCTGGAAATTGAGGGCCCACCCTAGCAGTGGAAGGTAAGGTATTCTTTTCAGAGCAGGCACAGGGAGACCCAGAACTTGTAAACGTGTTTCTCTCCTAACAGTGTCAACAGCAGCACTTCTGTGCCAGGAATAATAGGCTCCTAACTTCCAAAAAGTCGTGTGTCCAAAGGGTGTGTGTTCTTAAGCCAAGTGATGCATTAAGATTAAAGGATGCTAAGAGCAGAGAAGGGATGAATAGAAGAAAGGACCATGTCACTTTTACAGTGTGACTTCTGCTAGGTGCAGATCATCCCTGTTTGAACACTTAAGCATTAGATAACATATTGTGGAAAAAAACAAACGATTGTCTACTTCAGAGATTTCTATTCTCTGCTTCAGATTTCATCCACTGTTCACATTCATAGCGTGTACTCCTGTAAATGTACACAGAGTACTTTAAAATGGCACTGTTGTTTATGACCAGAATTATGCAGACCAGTCCAGACTTCCAGGGAAAGGACCTGTTATAGGACAAAAATAATTGTAGTTTTTACATTCAGGTGCAATTTTTTTTACCCTTTGCTCTTAGAATACATTGTACCAAAAGCCTGACAGTACAGCTTTCAAGGGAGAGAAAGTGTTTTCAACTTGAGATATTTAATAGAAATGGTTATTCACAAGAAAAAAAACCTAAACATTGAAGGATATTTGACACCTGTGGACTAGACGTAAAATGCCATACTGCCACACTAACAGGCTTGCCAAAGCTCAGGCAAATATTGTCTTATCTGGGTTTCCCAGTTCAAGCTACCTTAAGCAGAAGATACACTAGGGAAATCTGCTGCCATCTCAAAAGCCACAGGTAATCACCAACTGAAACCAGACTTGGAATAGAAAGTGCAAAGCACACACCTTATCCCACAACATCAGTAATGTGCAGAAGGCAATGACGTTTAGAGAAGCGCATGAGGAGGAGGAGTGTTTTTCATACTACTTCATCCACCATGCCATATCTGGGACAACATCTGAGACACCTGGCTCAAGGTGTTAAAAAGATACTCTTTCTCCCTTGGCATGCACAGGGTGAGAAAACCATAGCTGGTGTCTCCCCTGCCTATTTTGAACTTGCACATAGGCAAGTCCATCAGCATCTGCAAAACCTTCACGTGAGCCCATGAGGGATGACTCCACACTGTCACTTAATGCTGTTCCCTTAGCCCTTTGTTCTAAAAGCCACCAGAGCTTTAAGGCATTTTATGCTCTTGTAGGGGCCCATCTCTACATAAGCCCCTTGTCACAACTGTACTGCCTGAATTGCCTGCTAGCACTTGGGCAGAAGTGTTTTGGGTGTTGGGAGTGATTAAGAACCCCACTGCTTCCCTGCTGGGGGATACTGCTCCCTCAGAAGGTCCAGCTGAACAGCACGCTTCTAATCTGCCTCAGCACTGCCAGGCAGCAACTGATAGAAGTATTTTGTGCTAGCTGAGGTGGTTTTGTCCTGAACAGAATAGGAAGGACTCGCATACTGTCTTGTCAGCCAAGTTGCAGAGATAATACGATGCAAGTCAGTAACAGCTTAGACAGACAGACACAGCTAGAGCAAGGCAAGAACATCAGCCTCTGATGAAGGCAGGCACAGGAAATCATTTCACGTGCTTTAATAATTCTCCGTACTCCACTGAATGTTCCAACTACACTGATTTACAAGGAACAGTTGTAAGAATAAGAGTTTTCTGTTCAGGCACAGCTCTTCAGTAACGAAATTGTACACAAGAGCCTCATCACTACACACAGTCAGTAACAACGGCAAGTTTTCTTGTACAGATGAACCCTTAGGACAAATCACTTTGGCATTTCCCCTCATCATAGGTAGTCAGTACCAATGCCTGCAGGTTAAAGTCATCTAACACTTCCTATGGTAAGATCCCTCTCTATATAGCTCATATATTTTATCAGGCTCCCAATTCCGTGATGAAGATTCTGTTTCAGACACCTTTTTAAAATTGAAGGCTTGGTAGCTGCAATTGCGGCCTGGCTAGGCAGCCTGTCATTTTTCCAGCCCTGGCAGCTCAGTATTTCTGGGTATGGTTGCCTACCACAGGAGGGAGGTGCCTTCTGAGGAGAATTTTACAGCTTCCTTGCAATCCAAATGACAGTAAACATAAACATTTAGAAGAAAACCCAAACATTTCTGTTAGAACATATTGACCTTTTTTTTTTTTTAAAAAAAAAAGGAAACAAGACAAAAAATCTGGACTCTAGTCTCCAGCATGTTTTTTTCTTAGGATTTGCATGATTCCTTTGGTCACACATTTATTTTACATGAGACGAGGTATTTTTCTGCTAGAGTATCTATCTGGTTATCCCTTGATTGGTAAACTTAGCTCGGAGTGGCATTATCATTGCAAATATCACTATGCTTGTATAACCAGTATAAAACCTCATTAACCTTTTCAGTAGATGACTCTCTACTGATTGCTTCTAGACAACATTTTCAAGCATGAGAAGGCCAGAAGTTGATACTGTAAGAAAATACTCCAAGAGTCTTGTCATGAGATGCCACTGTTCTTGACACAGAAGGGCAATATGGCTAAATCTAAGACCTTTCCTCAGACCACAAGTGACTTAAGAAGTCACATCCCAAAATACACCATCCCTGTGGACACTGTTCAGCATCTTACCTTGGGATGAGTTATTTTCTCTGGAATTCATGCCAGTGTCTATGAAGAATATTCTGCGTTATTCCAAGTGTCCTCCCAATTTTGTTTACGAAAGATATGGGAACTTCATAACACCACATGCAGAGGCAAAATTCTGTTCCCTCTTCACTGATGTGTAAGTTTTAAGGATTGCGTTTGTCTGTTTTATCTCTCTGAGGTTTCTTGACTGGTAGTGGCAAATATATTACTTTGCCCTTGAAGCTGTGAAAAGCCAAAATCAGGACTCAATAGTCTTGGTGACTATTAAGCAGGAATTCTTTATTGCAGTGCTGGATGCACAGGGGATCGCTCCTCCTAATGTGTGCGTTGCACAGGGTTAATTGCATAGTTTATATACAGGTTTTACATACATATTCATTACATTCCTCAGAAAAGGCAGGGATAGGTAAATTAATTCCTGGGAATCATTTGCATATTCTCCTCCCAGTTGCACATGCTTGGTAATTTGAGTCGGTGGTCTTCACGGGTCGTTTACTTCATCCACTTCTCTTTTTCACCTTGTCCTTTTGGTGAACTTCGGCTTTTACCCCCTTATTCTGCTGCCAGAACAACACAGCCGGTACCTGCCAGCTTCCCATCCTCAAATCATTCCCCTTTACCTCCGTATCTCATGGTTCCCATCCCTGGCTATCCTCGTATCGACAAAATGCTAGATGTTTTGTCCCCTACATGCCTTCCATGGCCGGCAACAAAGATAGGCAATTTACTAGGTTGTGGGTTTTTTACCTCATATGGTCAGTAAATTAACCTAAAACACAATGTTAGTACTTTAAGCCGGATCCTCCTCAAGGATGTTCTGTTTTCTCGAGGCTATTATCACATTCCAGCTACAGTTGGCTTCACAAAGGTCTTTTGTTAACCCTTTAGCATCCCTTCACCCTGAAGAGGTACCTTGAACATCCTGTCTGATCAGTACTCCGTATTTAGTGTAGTTTTAATTAGGAACAATACCTGGGGGTAGAAACATACAGTTTTTGTTCTATGCTGGAGCTTCAACTGTGGTAAAAAAAAAAAAAAAAAAGAAAAAAAAAGGCAAGAAAAAAAGCAGGTAACAAAAAGTTTGAAGTTCATGTCTATTTTAAATGTTCCTGTGTCACTATAAAAAATGTTTTCTCTACTGCTGGGAAAGTGGCAAAAATATTAAAAAAAAAATTACAGAGCTTGCATGTATTAATTCCACTCCCTGTGAGTTGTTCTAAATTTGAAGAATGCATTGAATTAATGTATTTCAAGTATTTAAAATAATCTCCACTATGGTTTAATTACAGCAACAGCTTTTAATGTTTAGTATCAGACAGACTGAGCATATTATGGAATAAATACTAGTATTTATTTGTTCCCTTTCCCAAGAAAGTATTTCATACCAGACAAGCAATCTATGGTAAGAACACAGTTTACAATGGCCATTTACTGAAAACAGGACAGATGCAGCGGTCTTCTTGTATGGGTACACACATACTTTGCAGTCCTGTACTGCAGGTGCCTTCTATCTTTCACAAAAGGGAGGAAAAATACTTCTTGGCTGAATATATATGGAAAAAGATATGAAAAGCCTATAGGAGCAACAAGGTTAAGACATTTAATGCGAATAGGTCCCCGCTAAAACCATTCCTTCCCTTCCAGGTCAGCAAAGCTACACAACATAACCAGTTGCTTCTGACAATGCTTCTGACCTATGACTTCAGTTTGGTCTGGTTACAAAGGGTGAAGAAAAAAAAAGATAAAAAATCAGATTTTTGACTGCCTGAACAGAATTCCAAGAGAAAACTAAGCAGATCTTCTAGGGTCCTCAAAGCATTTTTCCTGAGTGTGCAGGTAAGAATTTAAGGCTCCACTGAATACATCAAGGGTACTGAAAGTTTCTGGGATGAGAATACTCCAGTGCAAAAGACACCTCAATGCAATAGAATCCCATATCTCTAAAAGGGGATATCTTATCTCTATTAGCATTGAAGAGACTCTGTGCATCTGAAGACCAAAAGAAACACACTAGAAAATTTCAGACAAATGCTTTAAGTTACGTATTTTTATTACAAAATGACACTTGGAGTTAGTTGCATACAATAGCATGTGCTGTCAGTGTTGCATAGCTGCTCCCCCATCAGGCAACAACTGCAGCTTGCACTAACCAGAAGTAGGTTACTTCATACCCACTACAGCTAAGTTACCTGCAGTCATTACTGCAGCATCTGACATGACTGTGTTAGGAACGTCAACTGGATAAGCCAGGACATGAGAAATTGGTTTAGTGCCTTATAAATAGTAGGTACAGCTTTATGTATTTATTGTTAGGAAATAAACCCTTTATTTGGTACATTTCAGTAACAGCCTTAATACATTTCTTGACGGCACCTAGAGCTATCACCAGTAGCTGCAGCAACCCAAGACTATACAGCACTCTGCACTCCTCTTTCATTGCAAAACCTCTTCACCAGGGGAATACTACACTGGATTTTAGATCAGTTGATGACCCTACTTTGTACCGCTTTAGAACAGCTTGAGAGCTTAACACTGTTTTCTTCCATGTTCAGTTACTGCTGCTTGTCTGCCAGTGTGCTCTGTTCAGTGCCTGAGCTGTGCTTGTTCTTAAGGGACCTTCCAATGTATTTCCAGTATTCCTTTCGGATAGTGTCTTTTTCTTTAGCCAGAATTTCACATAACTATGAAAGAAAATTGAGAGATTGGAGCATTATACCAAAAGCTTACAGAATTCTCAATTACATTTATAAAACGCATACAATACATGGTTCAGCCAGTATTAGAAACACCTTTCTTAGCAGCAACATTTGTTATATTCACCAGATTTGCAACTGTCCAACGACCTCAAACTGGTATCAACCCTACCCAGTAGTCAAGCAATCTGACACTGCACAAAAACCTCTCCAGCCCTATTTCAGTTGCAACTGCTTCCTTGTGACTCCTTTCTGGGCCTACCACTCATCATTTACTCGAGCCTATTCAGCCTGTAGTATACTATAGTATACTTGTGACCTCCTGACAACCTTGATTGTCTTTTAGTGATCCAGTAGGCTCGAAACCACTTCATTCAGAACAGTGGGGGAACATCTGGCTCTTGAATCTTCAGTACTCCCGATGGATTGACAGGAGATATTTTGCTTATGGTTCTTCTCTTAGCAGACTGTCCCAAAAGGACTCTCAACACAACTCAGTAACCTTCTCTCACAACATGTGAGAGCTGGTGCTACACAGATACTTTCACATGTTCTGATTTTTGTTTTATTTTGATCTGGGTGAGCAGCGAGACACGGCAGAGGTCGACCCTAGTCACAGGACACGCTGTGTAAAATTTATATGGTGTGAACAACTGTCTACAAATGTTCTAGTCAATTCCCTTTTATTATGCAGATGACATTGCCTTACTCAGTGAACCAGAGTTGAGAAATAGGAGCTTCAATGCCTAAACAGACGAAGAAGTCAAACTCAGTGAAATAGTATAAAGGGACATGAATATGAGAGGTACAACTGTACTTATTTACACTCTGGTCCTGGAACACAACAAAGGAAAAATGTTGAGAAAGAACAATGTTGGAACATGGAGACTCCAGGCAAGAACTGCAGCTCTAATTACACGGAGTTCCGGACTGTCCCACACTGAATGAAAAGTGTTCCCGTAAAAACTACACTGCAAACCACAGCAATTAGTTCCCCGAACAAGAAGCACAGGGAGATACACAAACATTGCTCAAGTCATTTATTCTCTGTAGGAAATGGTGCCCGACATTCCTTACTGACGTCCCCAGTGCCTGCTGGTCCTGAAGCTAATTCTGCCAGGTTTCTTAGAAAGGGCTAAGAAGTGCGAAGGATGCTTGAGATTCTGTTTAGATAGAGGCACTCTGAGAACAAGATTCGCTAACCTACAGAGAAGCAAGTGAGTTCATACTACAAAGTTAGCACTGGAAACTCCTTGACTGTTCAAGCGTCTCCTTTCTTCTGCAGGCAATATTAGAAACCCTCCCTCACTACCAGGTGAAGAAAACTTACAGTGATCTTGTAACTGCCAAGTTATTATTTACAGATAAATCCATAAGACCCTTGTGATTATCTGGCTTTCACGTTCTGTTCTGTTTATGAAAATCAATCCCATTTTGTCAGGATATAAGCGAGTAATAGATGGCATCCCTGAAAAGCAAAACCAAGCTTTTGAAACGTACCTCCAATGCCTTCTTCAGTGTTTCTTCCTTGTTATCACACTGGTTTTCAAGCATATCTTCATATATGTCCACAAGAAAGGCAATCAGATAAGGAGAACTGTGGCTGGGCTGTAAATTCAACAGTTGCTCTAACAGATTTGGATACTTAGAAAGACCACGATCCTGCAGAATCCTAGAACAGAGGTTAACAGACTTGAAACACAACACTGAGAAATATGGTGTGAAGAATTATATTTTTGTTATGCCTCTGTTATTTGGAGATCAGTTTTGAAATAAGGGTGCAAATACAAGTAAGGCAGAAAGTCAGCAGCATGCAGCAATAATCAGCTTGATGTTGTAGTAAGCTAGTATAGTTATGCTCAACTGAACAGAAATTAGACTGAAAGCATGCTCATTACTTCCTACTCTAGGCTGTTGAACACAGCAACACTATGGGTCAAGTTTTTAAAAGTATGAGAAGTACTTGCAATACTCCCACAAGAACTACAGGGCCAGAAACTCAGTGGGAAGTTACGGAGAAATTAGGTTAATATATTAACCCCTTGCAGAGGTTCTTGTCTGCCCGGTTAAGCACACAACACTAGAATGAACACCAACAGGCTCTTTCCAGTTAAGAGCTAGGCATACAACACCTTCTACAGATATTCTCATTGCCCCGCAGAGAAGCATGCCTCACCCTTTTAAATAGTTCCAAGCGCTCTCATTATGTGGCACCGCTGTGATCATCTCAAGAGTGTATCTGTGAAAAAGAGATAACAGGTCACGAATGCAACCACTAACCATGCAGTCAGAATTACCTGAATGTGCTCAGATGCTCCCAAATACATCCTTCTAGTCTGTATTTCAGAGCCTTTCTGCAGATCATCTCAGCTGGGTCACAGATTAAAAGTGTCTTGCAATATAATCACTGCAAGTCTCAGACAGACATTGTGGGAACTGTTAAATTCTGAAGTGTTTCATTTGCTGCATTTTATATAATAATGAAGCAGTTCTGAAAATTACGAGCAGTGACACCAAGAAACAACATGATACACTCTTCTGGTATGCTAGAGGAATAACGTGTGTCTTGATGCTCAGAAATGTCAAGGGGCTGAAAAGGGCTGGAGCAACTGAAGCCCAGGGTGAGCTACATTAATATGACTGCGTGTGGTATGTTCTGTACCTATTCGCAAAACTTTTTTCATGAGGCTGCACTTGAGCAAGCTCACAGAAAGGAGAGCTTGAGCTTTCAGCTCACGCAGCCTTCTGCAGCTATGTTTTAAAGTAGCAGTTAGACAACTCCTTGAAAAGCAAAGCAACAAGAGGCACCTGCCATACAGTCGCAAAGCCGCATTTCATCTTCATCAAGCAGACTTTACCTTCTGCCCTTCCCCAGCATAACTCTGATTTTCAGAGACAGCAGATGCTGAAAAAAAGTTCTATAAGCAGTACTGAAAAAAAACCTCCACCCAACCCTAAACCTTTTTTAATCTTCTGCAGTCACTGTGACAAAGACTGATTTTATCAAGCAACAAGCAGCCCAAATACAGTTCTATAATGACATCTGGGAAGTCTTAACCTTAGAGACTCTGGTTCTTAAGATGATGGATCTTAAGATCCAATTATCTGGAACTTAGCACCATGTATAAACTGATGAAGGGAAGATGTCAGATCTAACCTCTAGAAAGAAAAAGCCGGGAATATCCAAGCCTAAATCATGGAAATGGTTCAGATTTGTTAATGTGCAGGGAAGTTACAAACTGGAAGAGAAGTATAACTTACAGCAGTTTGAAAAGACAACCCATGGAAGGTGGTGGGGGCTGGGATCCCCTATGAACTATGTACCAGTGACCCTACTCAGAGACTTTCTTTTGAAGAATAACTCCAAAAATTTGCGGTACCTTCTCATTCCTTCTTCACTTCAGACAAACAATCTTCTCACAACCATCAATCCTGATCAACAGTCTGAGATGCGCAAACCATACAATGAAGCTTCCCTTAACACGATTAGTAGGAAAATAAATGGCTGAAAGCCCACCTTGTCCTCAGTCACAAATACACTACTTCGAAACATTTTCCAAAGCTTATTTTCCTCAAAACTAGCCAACTCACACAGGTAGTTGTCTTTGTGCTGACCACATACCCCTGAAAGCTCCTTTCCTTTTCCAGCTGCACCAAATTCCTCACAAAATACAATTCCTCTTCCTACAGTCCACGTCCACATTACCTTTAAACTGTTGTGGCTACTGTACTACTAAACCAGCAGTTCAGTACAACACTGACAGTGTCTCTCCTTCCAAGCTTTCTAGGGGTAGGATGTAAGATGCAAACGAACAGCACAACTTATGTGGTTCCAGTGTCACAGATCTTCTGCAGGTTGTTCCACTATAGCTAGTTGCCTATAAAAAGCCAAAAGTACTGTTTGCACAATAAGCAGCAGGGACGGGGAGACAGATTCATGAGCATAGCTTGCCAAGGGTAAGCACAGCTTGCTTCAGTACCACTGCCTTGTTGAGTAGTACTGAACACATCTACATATGCACTAACACTTGATCTGCTATCCATGAGAGTGAGCCCAAAACCTGCATTAAAACCAGGAAAGACAAGTCCACAGGGACTGTCAGAGTATTCCTTCGCTTTCATGTAATGGAGAATCCTTAATGTGAGCATGAGCAGCATTACTAACTGGACTTCTCTGTCTAGGACTGCTGGATCATCATAGCCGGTGGTGTTGAAAATGACGAAGTGCCGTTGGTTCCAAACAGAGTTGTTTCTCACATCTTCCCTCAAAAGCTGGTCCACATATTCCAGTTCATTGTCCCATAACTTGAACTCCTATGGAAATGAAAGGAAGAGAGAATATCACAATCAAATTTTTTATTTTTTAAAATATACTCTCCTTGCTCCTAAGTTCTCTGAACATTAGATACAGAGATTTATGAAGAAATCAACACAGAGTTCTAAGAAAAATAAGGAAGGGTGCACTGGGAACATGCTAAACTCACTATTCAGTTGCACACAATGGTATTTGCTTGTCATTAAATTCACACACATAACAGCAAGCAGCCAACAACGGACTTTTTTGAACACGCCTCATAAAAGGCAAATTTATAGCTAACCTCTGCAACAGATTAAAATGCAATTGTTTTTCCCTCTTCAGCCTCAAGAAACAAAGTGCCAAACACAATTCAGATTGTATTTAAGAAGTGAAACTCTACAACCTAAGCAGGTTATTTAGTGAGTCAAGAGCTCTGTGGATACAAACCTGAATAACCCATTGTCTGTGTTGCCACGCATGGTAATTTTTGGCATCTTGGTTAAGAATGTCAGCTATGAACTCAAGCTCTTGGGACGGGTCCTGCAGCCACTCCACCAACACCCGTCTGTGATGCCTAATGACAAGAGGAGGAAACTATTTTTAGAATAGTCTAAAAAATGTTTTGTGATCGTGTAGTCTGTATTAAAATAGCATCTAGCAACTGTACTACTGACAAAAAAACCCACTAGTTAAATACTTCAAATTAAATATAGCAAAGCATTTCACTTGTCTCTGAGAAATATACAATGCATACTTATACACACTGGCCAATCACCTCATTTTAGACAAGTTAGTTTACTTGAAGTAACACGTTTCCACTTTTAACACTCATGGCCAAAGTCTTCAGCAGAATAAAATTTTCTAGTACTACATAATTTCTCTAGCAATAACAACACTGCTGTTTTGCCTATTCCCATTCACTTGAGAAAAACCCAACAACAGGTGAGAAAACTCCAAAAGCCAATAAAAGGAAAAAATACTCCATTTGTCTTTTTGTTTGCATTTTCATTGGCCATTTTTTTAATCTGCCAGACTTATTTTGACAGTTTAAAAATTGAAATGAAAAGAAGACACGACTTTTTCAGCATGTCGTAATCATATGTTTAGACCAAACTGCTGAAGTGGACTGTGGCAGACGTACCGATGCAACTCTGTTTGCCTTCTCCACTGCTGCTACTGCAGTAGATACAAGGAAGCAACTCGTAACAACTTTTACAATCAATGATCAAAACTTATCCTACAAATAATGTCCTACAAATTTACAAACCAAAAATTACCTGCAAAAACATTAAGAACTGAAAAGAAAACGTGATTTTACCAGACTTGGTAGTTCTTTGGCTGATCTTCAATGATAGCTGTAATATACTTAAGTTCCTCACGGAGATCCTTTCCCAAAGACTGCAGGAGGACTCTCCGGAAATGCCTGTATAGAAGTCAAACATTCGAACACTGCAACAGGGCTTTTCTAAAATTCACAGCAAGCACAGAAGAACCTTTGTTCACAGTTCTTCTAATAGATACTGAGTTAAAGAGAGCGCAAATAACTAAACGACATATCCAGTTCTGTTAAAGGCTATTCAATTATCAAACAGTGGAGAACTGGGATACAACTGGTTACAACACCATGACACCCAAGATCACAGCAATCCTGTTTCAGATTCAGCTCTGTCTACCCACACTAGTCTTATAATGATGTGCTTAAAATAACGTAAACTTTCTGATTTTATGCAAGTTAGTGGAATAAAGATGTACACAAGGTAGTTGTTAGCATTCATGAGTTAAAAGGCTCTACTCTGAATATCAGAAATTCACTGTTTATTCATAACCTAACATTAACCTGACAGATCTTCTAAAATGAACTATTTAGTAAGCACAAAATTATTTAGCAGGAAATAGCAGCTATCACGCTTTTATGCCTCTTCTTGAAGTCATCTGAGGGCATCTTCAGCATTTCGTCAAGGCCACATTATCAGGACAGCAAAGTTCTTTTTGTGACTGCTCCTGACCTTGATTGATAACATCCTCAAAGCCAAATGAATGAGACATGGAAAATACTGAACATAACTGAACAAAATAGCTTTCTTCAGAAGCTCACTGGAAGTCTACACTACTCCTCCGTGTAAATTCAACTAGTCATGCCCTGATTAGACTAACAGAATTATTAAAGATATAAGAGGTTGGCAGTCAAAGGATGATAGAAATAATCCCAAGATTATCACTTACCATACTGTGTAGTTTGCAGCATTGAGCTCAATGGCATCTGCTGTTAGCTTGAAAGCTCTTTCGCTTCTCTCATCCCGCTGCAGAACAGCCCGGAAGTAATCATAGACATCTCGAACTAAATAGATAACAGCGTCTTATCCAAGGCTACGAGACAATGGCCTGACTAAGGGGGAAGGTTAATAACCCTTTGAAGCCGCTTCCTATTTTGTGTACTTCTTTAAAATGATAGCTACGTATTGCTCTGACAGCACTGCTGACTGAAAGCTCTAAATGATATCAGCATACCAAAAAGCTGCAAAAGTACCTTAAAAATACACCATCTGAATAATACCCAAAACAATTGGAAAAGTTCCTTGCTGCTCACTCATGCTGCTTCCCCAGATGCAGTAGTTTCACATGTCCCTCTTCCACTCACAGGCTAGAAATGCCTTATCATGTGAGCCAGACTGTCTGTGGTACTCTCAAGCCACGTGACTTTAAAATAAAACCTTGGCGGCCAACATCCTGGGTGAAGACTCAACCTCAGAGATGCCTGGTGAAAGCATCATGCACAACCACCATAACGCAATAAATATTAAATTAATTTCTTCACAGCACTCCTCTAGAAAATGTGTTATCCAAAAATGTGAGTTCTTGCTTTAACAACACTAAGGACAGACACAAGTTTAACCGCCTCAAGTTTTCAGCGCAGAACACGTTTACAACTTACATTTTTCACTGTAGATGATCTGAACAACAGGATTTGGCCCATCATTCTGAGGGACGGGTTCGACATCTGCCCATTCCTTCCTATCCCTGTGAACACCAGTTTTTGCCTTTTCAATGCTTCCAAAAAGCATGAACTTCTACTCAAACCACAGCACGCACAAACCCGCCTCCCACCACACCTGCGTGCTGCCAGCGGTCACTGCTGCCGCCACTTTGCCACCGCCCGTAACACGGGGCGGCACATAAACAGATATGTTGGAGCAAAAGCAGTTTCAAGGCCAAGTTCACCAACCTAATGTCCTGGCAGAGCAACCCTTTGGGCCTCCCTGGCGGTCCAAGTATGAAGCTATGGCTCCCCCAAAGTCTTAGAAAGCTCTTGTGGATGAACTGGCAGTGGATGGGTGCTAGGGCTCTCTGTCTGGCCCAGGCTCCTCCATGAGTTCTTCTAATAGATACTGAGTTAAAGAGAGCGCAAATAACTAAACGACATATCCAGTTCTGTTAAAGGCTATTCAATTATCAAACAGTGGAGAACTGGGATACAACTGGTTACAACACCATGACACCCAAGATCACAGCAATCCTGTTTCAGATTCAGCTCTGTCTACCCACACTAGTCTTATAATGATGTGCTTAAAATAACGTAAACTTTCTGATTTTATGCAAGTTAGTGGAATAAAGATGTACACAAGGTAGTTGTTAGCATTCGTGAGTTAAAAGGCTCTACTCTGAATATCAGAAATTCACTGTTTATTCATAACCTAACATTAACCTGACAGATCTTCTAAAATGAACTATTTAGTAAGCACAAAATTATTTAGCAGGAAATAGCAGCTATCACGCTTTTATGCCTCTTCTTGAAGTCATCTGAGGGCATCTTCAGCATTTCGTCAAGGCCACATTATCAGGACAGCAAAGTTCTTTTTGTGACTGCTCCTGACCTTGATTGATAACATCCTCAAAGCCAAATGAATGAGACATGGAAAATACTGAACATAACTGAACAAAATAGCTTTCTTCAGAAGCTCACTGGAAGTCTACACTACTCCTCCGTGTAAATTCAACTAGTCATGCCCTGATTAGACTAACAGAATTATTAAAGATATAAGAGGTTGGCAGTCAAAGGATGATAGAAATAATCCCAAGATTATCACTTACCATACTGTGTAGTTTGCAGCATTGAGCTCAATGGCATCTGCTGTTAGCTTGAAAGCTCTTTCGCTTCTCTCATCCCGCTGCAGAACAGCCCGGAAGTAATCATAGACATCTCGAACTAAATAGATAACAGCGTCTTATCCAAGGCTACGAGACAATGGCCTGACTAAGGGGGAAGGTTAATAACCCTTTGAAGCCGCTTCCTATTTTGTGTACTTCTTTAAAATGATAGCTACGTATTGCTCTGACAGCACTGCTGACTGAAAGCTCTAAATGATATCAGCATACCAAAAAGCTGCAAAAGTACCTTAAAAATACACCATCTGAATAATACCCAAAACAATTGGAAAAGTTCCTTGCTGCTCACTCATGCTGCTTCCCCAGATGCAGTAGTTTCACATGTCCCTCTTCCACTCACAGGCTAGAAATGCCTTATCATGTGAGCCAGACTGTCTGTGGTACTCTCAAGCCACGTGACTTTAAAATAAAACCTTGGCGGCCAACATCCTGGGTGAAGACTCAACCTCAGAGATGCCTGGTGAAAGCATCATGCACAACCACCATAACGCAATAAATATTAAATTAATTTCTTCACAGCACTCCTCTAGAAAATGTGTTATCCAAAAATGTGAGTTCTTGCTTTAACAACACTAAGGACAGACACAAGTTTAACCGCCTCAAGTTTTCAGCGCAGAACACGTTTACAACTTACATTTTTCACTGTAGATGATCTGAACAACAGGATTTGGCCCATCATTCTGAGGGACGGGTTCGACATCTGCCCATTCCTTCCTATCCCTGTGAACACCAGTTTTTGCCTTTTCAATGCTTCCAAAAAGCATGAACTTCTACTCAAACCACAGCACGCACAAACCCGCCTCCCACCACACCTGCGTGCTGCCAGCGGTCACTGCTGCCGCCACTTTGCCACCGCCCGTAACACGGGGCGGCACATAAACAGATATGTTGGAGCAAAAGCAGTTTCAAGGCCAAGTTCACCAACCTAATGTCCTGGCAGAGCAACCCTTTGGGCCTCCCTGGCGGTCCAAGTATGAAGCTATGGCTCCCCCAAAGTCTTAGAAAGCTCTTGTGGATGAACTGGCAGTGGATGGGTGCTAGGGCTCTCTGTCTGGCCCAGGCTCCTCCATGTAGCCCATCTGCCTTTTCATGATGCCACAAAATCAACATCACACCTACGAGGTGGCTCAGGGCTTTTCTACAAGGCTCTGAAGTCACCTGTTAGAAAGCCACAGAGTATTTAACAAGCAGCCTAAATCTAGGTCCAGGTCCTAGGAGCCAGATTAAAGATGCTCCTTCAGCTTTGAAGTGCACCACGTCCTGGGAAGCTCGGGAGCAAGGCGAGAGACCAGGAGATCCTTCTGCTTTTCTGTTGCTCTCTGAGAAACTGGAGACCATCTGAAACCTTGTGCCTTAGCTCCCAAAAATCCTTCCTCCAAGACAGCAATGATGAACGCAGCAGAGGTTTGTGTCCCACGCTTTTTCCTGCCGATTGCACAGTCTCCACAAACACTCGTGCGTATGAAGGCTGCATTTAGGACTCCAACATATCAGAGGCGGCACATACCCGCCTTCCCCGCCCCACGGCTCCCCGCTCC